CTTAGAGTTATTTATTTGAAAGACAGAGTGACAGAGAGAAGGACACAGAGATAATTGTCTCCTATCTGCTAGTTCACTCCCCAAATGCCTGAAAGGACCAGGTCTGAGTCAGCCTGAAGCCCAGAGGCAGAAACTCCATCCCGTTCTCCCATGGTACTTGGACTATCATTATCATCTGCTGCCTCCCAGGTGTATTAGCAGGAAGCTGGGTCAGAAGCAGGGAGTACCAGGGACATGCACCGTGTACTCAGAAATGAGATGCAGGTGTCCCAAGCAGAAGCTTAACCCACTGTGCCTCAATGCCCATCTCTATGCTCTCTTTAACTGTCAAATTTCTCATACAGATTGTGTGTGGGCATGGAGGCAAATTGTTGAACTCTATGATTAGCATAGAGATGGTCCTCTATACATAAAATCATACTAAAAATGATCCATAATGAAGAAGGAGATGGGAGAGGGAACGGGAAGTGGGAAGGGAGTGGGGTGGGGGGCATAAGGGAAAGAATCACTGTATTCCTAAAGTTGTATCTATGTAAAAATGCATTCATTAAATAAAAAAAGAAAAAAACAGTTAAAAATTTCTCATACCAATTAGCAAATGTCTTAAAATAGTTATATAGTCACCTGGTTTTGTTGAAGGCCAAAGCACAAATGGCAGATTCTATAATATATTTCACTAATTCAAGGGATTAATGCTGTTTGGATTCCATTTGATACCCTACGTGCTTCTTACATGTTGATGTTGGCACTGTCTCACAAAGATCTGAAGGCACTGGCTCTGGTTTTAACAAGCTACCCTCCCTCCTTCTTAATAACATTCTTTTCAAGGAAAAATTCTTCTAATGTTTGTTATTCTCTGAGTGCATTCAGTCCCATTTGAAATTTGGCACTGTGTGTAGTTATCCCCCAACTGCATTTTTGTTTGAGATATCAAACAGTTCTCAGAGCTGTAAACTCTATGAGCTTCAAGGACAGCTCCCTTCAAAGCATACTTCCATTTTGGAAAAGTCTCAAAGGATCAAGTTAGCTCTTATCTGATACAAACTGCTGTTCCCATGACTTTCTTTGGCTATTGTTCTAATTTATCTTGTTCACTTTAAAAACACCTTGCTTTCTTCTAGTATTCTTTTATGTATTCAGGGGCTAACTAATCTTTCAACAAGACTGTCCAAAAGAGTTTGCAATTAGTGTAATTCTTAGGATAACATCTAGTGTGCCTTTTTATATGCACAAGGGGAGAAAAGATAATTTAGGTGAAAAGGCTAGTGAACAAAAATATTGAGAAGGCCTCCATTTCCCATTGTATGTAAAGCACCACTTAACAAATAAACCAAAGCAGCTAATATTTTACACAGGCACCTCATATAGTAACAATACTTTCCCTTTCGATATTTTGAGATATCAGTGTATTATAAGTATTAATGAATGCATCCATGCTATAATATCATCTTAGTTATAAACTGATTAAAAATTGTAATTCATAGCTCTTCCTTCTTTTAAGTATACCATGGACTAAGAGATTCTCAGGATTCTATTTTTCATGGAAATCACCTGCTACTCATAAAAAGTGAGAATTATTATTAGAAACATGGATCAGGCCAGCGCCGCGGCTCACTAGGCTAATCCCCCGCCTTGTGGCGCTGGCACACCAGGTTCTAGTCCCAGTCGGGGTGCCGGATTCTGTCCAGGTTGCCCCTCTTCCAGGCCAGCTCTCTGCTGTGGCCAGGGAGTGCAGTGGAGGATGGCCCAAGTGCTTGGGCCCTGCACCCCATGGGAGACCAGGATAAGTACCTGGCTCCTGCCATCAGATCAGCGCGCTGCGCCAGCCGCAGCATGCTGGCCGCAGCGGCCATTGGAGGGTGAACCAATGGCAAAAGGAAGACCTTTCTCTCTGTCTCTCTCTCTCACTGTCCACTCTGCTGTCGAGAGAAAGAATACAAATAAAAAGACAAAAAAAAAAAGGAAGAGCTGGATCAATATATGCATAAGCATTCCAGGGACAAATGATTAAGCTTGTTGAAGAATCAGACAGTTTGAAGGCTCTAGGTTGTGGCTCCAGGGTTGGAAGTTCTAGAAGATGAGATCATTAGGATAAAGTTAAACTTGACAATTAGTTGCTCCTAGTAATTTTAGTATTTGTATGGTAGTGGCTGGAACAAACTGTCAGGAGATGTTATTTATAAAAATCGAAACAAATCAAAATCACTAGCTAGGCAGTGCTATGGTTTGGTTTGCTGGGTGTTGTTCAAGTAGAGGCTAAAACCCAAGAGAAAGTGCCGGTTCACTTGATCGAAGTGTGCCAAGTTTACCATGCTGACCCTGTCTCCAGACTGGGTTCAATGATCCTTTTTTCATTTCCAAATTTCCAACAGAACCTTATGCTTACAGCCATCCTAGGCATGATCACATTTTATAGTCTCTTTTTTCTGCTTACTTATCTGTTTATTAGATTTTGAGGCCCTTGAAAATAAGAAACACAGAGATTTAAAAAAAATTTAATTTCTATAATCCAAAATTTAGCATTATGCCTAATAGAAGCAGTAAATAAGCTTCGCTTGATTTGTTTGATGTAACGTAATTTGATTTAGCACCCAATTCCTATTTGCTCAAAAAATTCCTCATTATTAAAACGCTGACTGCTCCCAGATTGTCCAGCACAGAAGACACTACTGAGAATGGATTCATCTGCAAATGGGGGTGCCTGGGTTTGGATTCTGGTTCAGCCCTCCATTCCAGCTTCCTGCTAATGGGCACCCCGGGAGGCAACAGGTGATGGCTCAAGTACTTGGCTTCCTGCCACCCACCTGGGAGACCAGGTTTGAGTTCTTAGCTCCTGGCTGTGACCTTGCTCAGTCCTGCCTGTTGTGGGCATTTGGGGAGAGAGCTGGCATTTGGGGAGTGAGCCAGCAGATAAAGATCTCTCCCCTGATGCTCCAAAAATTGTACAAGTTCCTCATTTTCTCCTTTTGCCACCTGGATATTTTAGACATTCACTGGCCTGGATAGTCACAATCTTAGCTACTTTCTTTGGAGCCAGAAGCATACTTGGAGGGAATCTTTTTGGGGTAGGAGGCATCCGCTAAGCCACATGCAAAAGAAGGAGGAGACAGTGAAATACTTGCTTTCCTACTGCAGCCAGACTAATGTGATTATTTGAATTTGTCAAGGAAATTAACTACTGGGGACTTGCTGTTTTGAACAGAGATTTTGTATGAGATTCTTTGCAAAAATTAAAGGTACAAAGAAAGGAAGGAAAGAAGTGGATTGAGGGAGGGAGAAATGAAGGGAGGGAGGTATGGTTATCTTTTCAGAACTGTATCTATGAACTACATGAAATCTGTTCTCTTTGTATTAATAAAAATAAATAAGGAGAAAATATATGTCATGCATATTTTTTTCTGTGGAGAAAACTGGATTTTCAAAGGGACCTGAGGCCCAAAGAGGCTGATATCTACTGCTTAGTGCAAGTAAACAGAATTTGATTTTCAAACATGAACCTTCTAATTTGATGTGAAATTTCTTTAATGGAAGGACAATATCTGAGCCTCTTTGTATTTCTTGTATCTTGTACAATGGATCCAGCGCTTAGCAATCAATAGGTGTTTGTTTGAATAAAATGCTTTGATACTAAGAGCAAAGCTTACTTGAAAATCATCACTATCCAAGAATGACATCATTTATCATTGTGTTTTGTTCTAAGAATTGTGGCAGGAGTCACCCCTACAGCAGTGGCAGGATAGCCCCCACAAAGGACTGCCCCAAACCATCCTGAGATGAGGCAAAGAAAGAGGCACTTAAATGCCAGATCGCGTAGTACAGAGCATTGATTAGGATGTTGCAGTGTATCCTAGGGATAGACTGCAGGAGAAACGACATGTTCCTGGCTAAGTTTGCAATAACGGTGTAAGGGCAGGGAATTTATAAGAAGGTGTAAGGAATGTTGGCTCAGGGCCAGGACCAGTTTCTTTCAACAAGCCAAACACCTTTGTCAGTGCCTGGGAATGTCCAAGGCCCAGCTTGGGCTCAAGCCTTCTAGAAAAAACCTGCAGCTGATGTGGTCACAGAGCAGTTAAAGCATTCTTTGATTTTTCCATCAGGACAAAGAATGAGAGCTGGTAAAGGCCAAGAGTTGAGGGAGACTGAGGAGCCCTACATGTTGCTCCTCACCCCACTTAATGTAGGTATGCTGACTTGCAAGGTTTACTGGGAGGAATTTACCTCTTTCTGAAGTAGCAAGCATTTTTGACTTTATTTGTGTATTTAAAAATTTGTACCCTTTCTATGTTCAAAAACCACCACTAACTTTTATTTGTAGGGATACTTAATATTTGTAAAAATTTTACATTAAATCTTATGACCCTCTGGAATACATAGGTCTTCCAGGGAGTAGAACATTGGTGACATAAAAATTAAGCCTGGTTTCCCTTAGACAGGAGGCCTATTGTCTTATTTCCTTTCCTTAAACAGAAAAGAGCAGTGGTTCTGTGAGATTCCATTCCACACAGTTCTGTAACAGCAGGAAACCAGAACAATTTGAAACAGCAGGTGACTTTCCTAAAAGTTCAGGCAGCTGGGTTAGGCTACCACTTCCTCACCCCAAAGCAAAAACAGAAAAAGAAAAACCCACAATCCCCCCCCTCCCCCCCAAAGCAGTAGCGAAATCGCTGGCTCAGTAAATGTTTCTCTGTTATGGTTTAGAAAAGAACATGACTTGGAGGCCCTCTTTTCTCTCAGCTCTTCCTCCCGCCCCGGACTGTACCATTAAATCTTGGATACTGGGGTGACTGAAAAGGACAAGGAAATAAACGAGTAATTGTCAAACTTTCCCTTCCACTTCATGCATAGTGGCACTTGCCTCTTTAAGTTCAAAATAATCATAATCAGTTCAGGGCTTGCTCTGCGTGCAAGGTCACTGCAAGAGTGAACACTGAACTTTGGACTCCAACTGAGGGGTGAGTAAACAACAGGACTATAAATACCAGAGCCTCTTGTGGCTTTGTGGAGCTGCCCAAGCCAAGCAGAGAGAAAGGAAGCAGGCCTGGGAAGGGATTGTGTAAGTAGGAGACCTGTGTTTTGCAATACTTGATTTCTTTAAGATTGGGTAAATATTTTGAATCTGGTTATTTATCTCACATAGATTATATTTAGAAAAGTGAGTAAAGGAAAAAAATTAACAATATGAAGAACAAAATAATAATAATAATAATAAAAGAGGAACAAAAATGCCTGACCGCGGGTGTGGTGGGTAAAGTTCTCTCTGGCCACAGCTGAGTTCCTACTTGATTTCTCCCCTGCCTTCTGCACACCGAGCAAGGGGAGCTAGGGAAATCTAGCACTTTTATTTTCCAAAAATCCTGTGCTATTATACAGACACTATTACATGCTCAAATTTAAATATGTTCTCCTGAGATGCAGAGTGGGAGCAGCCAGGGGAAAAAATAGGATTTGAAAAGCAGAGACTGAAAAGTGCTATTGAAATGTCCAGGGATATGGTGAGTGGTTTCAAAGTAAACATGACAATAGGTCTGCTCTGATTTCATCATCATTTAAAAAAAAATCATCTATTATTTTCACTTTATGTTTCTGTGTGGGAGCAAACTGTTGAAATCCATACTTAATGTATACTAAGCTGATCTTCTGTATATTAAGATAATCGAAAATGAATCTTGATGTGAATGGAAGGGTAGAGGGAGTGGGAAAGGGGAGGGTTGTGGGTGGGAGGGACGGTATGGGGGGGAAGCCATTGTAATCCATAAATCGTACTTTGGAAATTTATATTCATTAAATAAAAGTTTAAAAAAAAAAACAAAAAAAAAAAAAAGAAAGAAACATAAAAGAGTCAAGTGGGAGAGAGCAAGTTCATCCCACACTGCAGAAATGGTCATTTTTAAAGAAGTTAGAATCCTTGTCACAATCAGGTGCTCTGTGATTAAATGCAGAGTGGAGAATGGAAGCTTTCTGGTGACTGAGGGACTTTAAGATGCTGGTCTGAAGTTAGGTGGAACAGAAGGAAAAAGTTTCTGTATGTTCTATCTTTTAATGGGAACTTTTAAACAAATGTAGCTCTGTAGGTGGACAACAAATCTAGATTTTGTAATTTAAATGCGGAAAACAAATTTATTACTGAGATGTAAATTTTAATTTCTGGTTTTTATTGTATCAGCTTATAGTAAATTCAATTTTACTATTTATTCTCATTATTTTTATTTATCTGATAGCCATAATGAAATTATTGTGTAAAATGATTTTAAGAAAATGAAAATGAATAGCCTATTATTTATAATGACAGGAAAAATCAGGAAGTGTGAAATGTTTAATGTAATGCCCTCTGCTGATGGCTTACTTTTTCATCAAAAACCAAATGAGGGAAATAGTCTTATCTTTATATTCCCCACTGAGCTATTTTAAACTGTGTGCTCGATGACATGAGACTACCCAGTGGTGATTTTATGCTGAAAGCTCTCTAACTAATGAATTTATGGTTAAAAATAAAACAGGGAAAAATATAGTCATACTATTAAGAAAAGAGAACAGCTTGAGTTTTGTTGTTCTCTTTATCATCTTAGAGCATAATAAAAAGAAACATGGCTGCTATAATTATTCCAAGATGATTTAACTAAAAACTATCAATATACTGCAGAAGCTAAAGGGTCATGTATTAGATTTGAGAGAACTGGTTTGAATCCAGTCTCTCTTGTGACTTACTTCCGATGCAATCATAGATAAAATGCCTAACTCTCTTTTAGCCATAATTTTTTCAACTGCAAAAGGAGTAGTATTCACATAGTATTTTTAAGAACTGACATGACACATAAATGTGCATGGTGCCACCTGCATATGGTTCTATAAATGCTCAATAAGTGATAACTATAATAAGTACAATTATCAATATTAATCTTATTCCAAAGAAATTTCCTAGATTTAGTCCATGTCTTCCCTTGTTAAATATTATAGTTTTAATGAATTAATAGTTGGAATGACCTCAACAGTAATTTAATTTATCCTCTCTCTCCCTCTTTCTTTAGTTTGTATCTTACTAAGATATCCCATCTGAACTGGGATTTTGAGGTTTTAAATAAAAAAGGATAATGAGGTTTAAAAAAATTCTATCTGTATCTGTGCATTAGAGAGTAGATCAGTTAATTTCTTGCTGTTCTGCTTGCTTTTAAATACTTGGCTCACTGTAGCTAACTTATCATTAACTGTCCTCCCATCCAAAAATGCTTTAACTTTTTGTTTTTCTCAAATCTCACATTAGTGCTGAAAATGTACTAACTTCCCTTCCCAGTTTTGGAATTTTCTTCTGATTTCTCTATATCAAAATGGGCTTGAATTACCTGTGTGGATTTTGTTTTGCTCATTTCTGCTGGGTGTGTCCTTTTTTTCACCTCCCTACAATTTACTTCTCTCTCTCTCTCTCTCTCTCTCTCTGTGTGTGTGTGTGTGTGCGTGTATTTCTCTGTTGAGAGAGCTAGCTCTTAACATTTTAACTGACCTACAGAGAAGGCTTATCTTTCTATCCAAGAATGTGCTGTTTAGTTCCAGAAACTTTCTGAAAGTAATGGCAGCCAATAAGTAGACTGAGTGAGTGTAGATTTCAGTGAATCTTAGATGGCGCAAAGGGCAATGGCTTGTGCTATTTCTCCTTCATCAGGTTTTCCCATCCTTTGTCATATTTATTTCGGGGGTAGTAGTAATATCTGGCAGGCTGTTTTGTATCTGTTGAGATTCAAATCCTTTGATAATTTGATAGCTAGACTTTGAGGCATAAAAGAAACAAAACCCAAGACATTTATAAATATAGAAGGTTTGAACCTGAAGAGCTAAGGGCCCAACCTGAGCCACATTCACACTGATAAACTGTCCTCATTGCTCCCTCCATTCTTCCTGAGTTCTTTCTATTCCGGCATTTTTGATTTCAGTGCAAAATCCCCTACTTTCTCTCTCCTTTTTTGGATCAGTAGAAGATAGAAAGAAGCAGTCAGAACTTGTTGCATCACAAACAAAAATCAGATTGTGTGTGCAAAATGGTACTTGGCTATAAAAGTTATGGTCTGAGCACTTTTCAATACATGTGTTTCTAAGGAAGAGCCTGGCTGCCTGATCAGGCAGATTTCCATAGCATGCTTAACTAAGAATATCTTGCCAAACCAGATAGTTGAGCTGCTTTGACAATTCACTTGCTTCAAGCTGATACTGTCCCCTTTATAGGATGATTTAGTGCAGACAGGCTTATCACAATGGGAAATGAGTCCAACAAAATAGATGAGCTTAAGACAGAACCAGTGGGCTAGGTATTTACAGGAAAAAGAATTATATTTGATGGATTTATAGCAATTCATAGTTATGACTATGAAGTCAATGATGAAGAAGACTACAGATTTTCTCTTTCACAGGACACAATCCCAGCAATGTGGAAAAGCCTGGGGCTTGCCCTGGCTCTCTGTCTTCTCCCCTGGGGAGGAACAGAGAGCCATATCCCAAGCTCAATATGTAAGCAACCACCATCTTGGAGCATAGCAGAACAAGATCCAATGCTGAATTCCTTTGGTTCAGTAACTGTGGTTGCTCTTCTTCAAGCTAGCTGATACCTGTGCATTCTGCAGGCATCCAGGTAAGATAATCTTGTTGTGGTTTAGGATATATTTAGGGTAAAGTCATTAAATGCATTACATAAATAGTTAAATAAGATAAAAACAGAAACAGTGCACTTCTTAAATTGCATTTTTGAAAAAAATTGTGTTTGCATAGGATATATTAAAAGGAGAAGAGTAGGAGGATATGCATTAAAATGTTTACAATGACTTTCTTTGGGTTATTGAAAGTTTTTGTTTGTGGACCTGTATTATAATGCCCTACTAAATATATATACTTTTGTAATGAAAATGCCCTTCAATATAATGAGAAGAGTAGAATGAACACTAGACTGACTATAAAATGTACTGGGTCATTTAACAAATATGTACATTTATAAAACATGTCAGGTTCTTCGCCAACTATTCATTGAGTAAAATTCTGTGTATAAGATGAATTTTAAAAACTCATATACTTTATATGGTTTATTGGAAGACTAAGTGAGCCAGTTTGTGCAAGCATTTAGCATAAGGTTTTAACTAAGCACACATTATAAGAAATTGGGTCAGTCAAAAATAAGGAGAGTTTCATGTAGAAAACAACAGAATGAGAAAGAAGAGAGAAGAAACCACTAATGAAATAATTAATTTTATGTATTTTTATATTATATATTTATTTAATAAATATTAATTTTATGTATTTTCCCCCAAATATTTTAGATTGGAAGAGCTACGAGTAAAACTGGAAAAAGAAGGCTATTCTAATATTTCGTATGTTGTCATTAATCATCAAGGAATCGATTCTCAATTAAAATACATACATCTTAAAAATAAGGTTTCTCACCATATTCTTGTCTATCAACAAGAAGAAAATCAAACAGATGTCTGGACTCTCTTAAAAGGATCCAAAGATGACTTTCTCATATATGACAGGTGTGTATACACACATACACACACACACACTCCAAATAGCAATCTTCTTTAAAATTAAATACAATGCCATATTTTGGTCCTCATCTCATATAACCTATTTAACATTTAGAAGTGAAAACTACTTGTTTTTGAAACCCTCTCATGCTCTACTGCTTTCCCCCATATCTCTCCTCCTCCACCTCTTTATCCTTTCCATCCACCTCTTCTTTCTTGTTCTTCTTACATTTTCTTTGGCTTATTCTGTACATGGTTGTGTTATTCAGGACTACTTGGGTTTCCTTCTTTTCACACTCTGTACATTCTGCCCATATAATCTCATCTATTCCTTGACTACAATTACAACCTATATTCTGAGGATCCCAAACATATATACAAAGTTCAAACACAGTGGCTGAATTCCACTTCATTATGTCTACTTCACAGACACTTTCACCAACATCTCAAATTCAGTTATTCAAATCTGGACCGATGTAGCTTTTTCTAAAAGTTGCTTCTATTTAACCTTTGTGTAAATTATATAAAGCAAACTTCTTAGAAGTAGATGTAGCCACCCACTGGGGCAATTAATTCAAAATCTTCATCACCCTGTGCCAGTCATCATCTAATATCAATAGGATATCACAAACACCATCAAGTGTGGTAGGCTTGCTGAAATTAACTCATTATAAAATTGTGTGGCAGTGAAGTACTACTTATTTTTATCACAAATTCCAGTTTGCATCAATCAAACTTTGGATTCTAGATCTTCATAGTACTTATCTTGTCTTCACAATCACCTTTTTTTTTTTTTTTAAGATTTGTTTATTTGAATGTGTGAGTTACAGAGAGGCAGAAGCAGAGAGAGAGAGAGAGAGAAAGAGAGAGAGAGAGAGAGACAAAGAGACAGAGAGACTCGGTCTTCCATCTGCTGGTTCATTCCCTAAATGGCCACGACAGCTGGAGCTGGGCTGATCTGAAGCCAGGAGCCAGGAGCTTCTTCTGGGTCTCCCATGTGGGTGCAAGGGCCCAAGGACTTGGGCCATCTTTTACTGCTTTCCCAGGTGATAGTAGAGAGCTGGATCAGAAGAGGAGCAGCTGGAACTCGAACTGGCATCCATATGGGATGCTGGTACTGCAGGTGGTGGCTTTATCTGCTATGCCACAGTTCCAGCCTCCATGATCACTATTTCAAGTTACTTCCCCGTTACCACTCCTAGAGATTTTTGCATCCTCACTTGATTCCTTATTGCTTTGCATTTAAGAGCAAGTGATTTAAAATAAGACATTTACTCTTATTTTATTATCAATTACTCATTTTCAAAATAAGCCCATTAGAGTGTTTGGTTTTAATATTTTTGAAATGACTTTCTTGAAAGCAAGGCCTGCTATTCCAGTAAGGAAATAAGGAAAATAGCTGAAACATTTTTTCCCTATAAATTGGCATTCTGGCTAAATAAAAAGAAGAATCAATTTGTATAGTATATTCAATTTTAACTATTTTTTCATATAAATAACCATGGTTTGCAGACCATGCTTGTTTTTTTCCTAATTAATTAGTAACTTAAAGGTTATGCACCTGGATTTTTTTGGTAGATATTTATTTATTTATTTATTTATCCATTCATTCATTCATTCACTCATTTGAAAGTCAGAGTTATGGAGAGAGAGAGAGAGGGAAAGGCAGAAAGAAAAAAGTTATCTTTCTTCTGCTGGTTCACTCCCCAGATGGCTGCAATGGCCAGGGCTGTGCCAGGTTGAAGGCAGAAGCCAGGAGCTTCATCTGGGTCTCTCACTTGGGTGGCAGGGGCCCAAACACTTGGGCCATCTTCTGCTGCTTTTACCAGGCCATTGGCAATGAGCTAGATCAGAAGTGGAGGACCCAGGACAAGAAATGGCAGCACCTATATGGGATGCCAGTATCACAGGCAATGGCTTTACCAAATGTGCCAAAATGCTGGCCCTTATATCTGGATTAAAAAAAATCATTTATTTACTTAATTGAAAGGCTGAGTGACAGAGAGAGAGGAAAATACACAGATTGTCCATTCACTGGTTCACCCCCAGATGACACAGACAGCTGGGGCTGAGCCAGACAGAAGCAGGAGCCCAGATCTCCATTTGGGTCTCCCATGTGAATGGCAGGGAGATAAATACGTGGGCCACGTTCCACTGCCTTCCCAGATGCATTACTAGGGAGCTGGACTGTAGGTAAAGCAGCCAGCACTGGAATTGGCCCTCTGATATGGAATGCTGGCATCACATGTGGAGGCTTAAACCACTGTGCCAAAATGCCATCCCCATGTCTGGATTTCTGTACCTTAAACTATGTTAATCATTTAAGTATAATCTGCATGAAACTGATTTTGATCCCATGAACAAATAAAACATTCATATTTTGAGAGAAAATACAATGTATACAAATGCATACATTATCTGCTGTTATAAACATTCTTAATTGGTACTTTGTTATTTCCTGCCTTCGGATCGGCCATTGGAGGGTGAACCAATGGCAAAAGGAAGACCTTTCTCTCTGTCTCTCTCTCTCACTATCCACTCTGCCTGTCAAAAAAAAAAAAAAAAAAAAAAAGACCATTATACCTATAATGCCTATCTCAAACCATGCATGAGTAGGATAATAATATGGAACATAATGTAATAATATTGTATTTTTCCTTTTTGTTAGATGTGGCCGTCTTGTATACCATCTTGCTTTGCCTTATTCCTTTCTAACTTTCCCATATGTAGAAGAAGCTATTAAGATTGCTTACTGTGAAGAAACATGTGGAAACTGCTCTCTCATGGTACTTTTCTTAATTATTTTTAGTGGGGGAAAAAAGGGACATATTTAAGAGCTATCTAAATAAGTTCATTTTATGATCAATTAGCTAATGAATTTCTTGATGATGTTCTAAAGAGAAAAAAACAATAATTTTATAGTTATGTAAATTTTGTTATATAATACACTTTGCAACAAAATGCATGCAACTGGAGACCATTATACTTGGTATAGTAAGCCAATACCAAAAATCATGTTTTTTCTGATATGTGGTATACAAAAAATGTATAAGAATGAAACTGACATCTTATGATTTGGTTATTGTTTTTAATCCTTGTCTATACTCCCATAGAACAGTGGTCTTTCTATGTTTTACTTGTTGAACATTATGGTTATAGTGCATTAAGCTTGTGATTATAAAGTAAATTGAAATTAGGTTATTGGAAAAATTAAAGAAAAAAGAAAGGAAGGGGGTTTAAGAGAGGGAGGGAGAGGAGTATGGTTATCTTCTTATAATTGTGTCTATGAAACACATGAAATCTGTTCTCCTTACATTAAAAAATAAGAAAAACACAATTTTAAAAGGTGTATATTCCTGCATTTATCTAGCAGGGCTTTAGAAAGTAAAAATCAATATAAACAATATATTTTCATTACCACCAAGAGATGTGAAAGGTTCCATGTAGTCAAGTGATTTTTAGGATCTGATATTGGGTGACTTCACTGTGATCTAAGTTCTTTTAGCCAATTTACCTACTTTTGTTTCTGCAGGTATAAATACAATAGTCTGACTTTCTCCTTAAGTATTTAATGAAAGGTGTAGATGTTGAGACTAAAACTTCATTTCTCTTCCATTAACATGATGCTAGAAAAGCAAAGTCAACTTTGTCCAATTTAATTAGCAGAAGTTTCTTACATGTGACCTTTACAAATTATCTTTCTTACATTCCCGCTAAATGTATAAACTTAATAAATGAACTATAAATTTCTTCCAGACTCCAGAAGATGAAAGCTTTTGTAAAAATGTGTCTCTGGCTACTGTGGAAAAAGTAAGTGAGGCTCTGCGGCCACATCACCATCACACGCATCATCACAAGCACGGGCACCAGCATCTTGACAGCAGTGAACTTTCAGAGAAGCAGCACCCAGGAACACCAGATGCTCCTCTTCATCTCCCTCCTTCAGGCCTTCATCACCATCATAAGCACAGGGACCAACATAGGCAGGGGAACCAGGAGAGCTGAGATATGCCCGAAAGTGAAAGTTTGCAGCTTTCACTTGTACGAAAGAAGCTCTGACAGAGGGGATGTTTAAATCAGTTACGGTGTAAGATGCTCAAAAAGTCAGAGCTAGCTCCAAGTAGCTGTTGCTGCCATTGTCGACATCTGATATTTGAAAACACAGGGTCTGCAGTCACCTGACGGTGTAGAGAAAACCTCCCATCATTATGTAGCTGACAGGGACTTCTGGCAGAGGAGAACGTCATTGAATCTTGTCAGTGACGTTTGCCTCCTGCTGCCTGACAGACAAGTCAGCAGCTCAAGCCCACAGAAGCCAGCACTAATTGAAGCTGAAATAATTTGGCAAAAAAGTGAAAATGACCTTCAAACTAAATATTTAAAATAAGATATTGGAGTTCTCTCTAAAGTCAGTCTCGATGCAATTTCATTTCCAGAATTTTTACAAGCTACCTAATTAGTGAAACAAAACTAGAATTGGATTCGTGCAAACATGGAGAAATGGAATAGATTGGCTTCCAAACATTGAATTACACATTACAGAAATTTTGAACCAAAAATATTTTTATAATGGGGCAACTGAAAGGTGATTGCAGCTTTTGGTTAATATGTCTTTCTTTTTCTTTTTCCAGCATTCTACTTGCATTAATGATAACAGAAACGTAAACTATGACCTAGGGGTTTCTGTTGGATAATTAGTAATTTAGAATGGAGAAGGAACAACAAAGACATGTTTTCCATTTTTTCTTTACTTATCTCTCAAAAACATTATCTTTGTAATCTTACAGTTTAGCTGATTAAGTCTTTAAGGAAAGAAATAGATTCTGTTTTTTTTTTAAGACTCAGAAACACTTAACATATGAATATTCTTCTAAAAAGCATATGTCTCTACATTTTAAATATGCATTTATCTCTTTATAGCTAAGACTCATATCTTGATTTTTACTTTCCCATATGAATAAAGCCTTTGTATCTTCCTCTTTATCTAACATTGCATCACACTCTTCTGAATTTTTAGTGTCTGTCTTGAAAGATATAAGGGGAGAGAGAAAAGAATGTTGTCTATCTTTAGGCTGCTCAGAGTATCTCCATATTAATGATGGTTTAACAGGTAAACTAAACCCTATGAACCTGAATTTCTTTATGGATAATACTACTAAGTGAGAATGCAGTTCACATTTGGATACCATACAGGTTTGTCTTAATAAACTCAATAAAAAAGTTTAAAGCTGTCTCTTATTTATTATTTAGGCAGTATGCTTACAACTAAAATATACGTGACTTTTTCAATTGTTTTTAAAGAACTTAAATAGCAACTAATGAATTTGCTGCTATACTCAAAATCGTCTACGCTTAAGGTGAGAATCTTTGCCAACAGAAAGGCGTTGCTCTAAATCACGAATGGTGTTACGAAGACCTGCAATCTCTTTGTTTTTTTCATCTTGAAGATGTTGAAGCTTCTAAATGAAGCAGAAAAAGTGTGTTATTGCAATTCAGAAATAATGAGGTCAAGTAAAAATACCAACAAAACAACAATAAAAATATACTCTGGTTAAGCTTGTTTTTAAAAATATACCTTTGAAAGATCTATAATTTCAGCTTTGTGTTACTTATTGTGGGAGAGGGGTAAAGCTGGTATAAGGATACAAAAAACACCGTGAAATATGTTGTTAATAAATATTAGATAATTTTTTTTGACAGGCAGAGTGGATAGTGAGAGAGACAGAGAGAAAGGTCTTCATTTTGCCGTTGGTTCACCCTCCAGTGACCGCCATGGCTGGTGTGCTGCGGCCGGCCCACTGCGCTGATCCGAAGGCAGGAGCCAGGTGTTTCTCCTGGTCTCCCATGGGGTGCAGGGCCCAAGCACTTGGGCCATCCTCCACTGCACTCCGGGGCCACAGCAGAGAGCTGGCCTGGAAGAGGGGCAACCGGGACAGAATCCGGTGCCCCGACCAGGACTAGAACCCGGTGTGCCGGCACCGCTAGGTGGAGGATTAGCCTATTGAGCCGCGGCGCCAGCCTAGATAATTTTTTATAGAAACATATTAAGAAAATTATTTTCTTAAGCAACAGTCATGGAAGAAAACTCACATACCCTTCTGTAGATACTCTGTGGCAAAACAGTAGCATCTGGATATGATTTTGATTTAGTCTGAACTTTTGCTAGTTTGGCATTGAACTGAAACAAGTTTAAAAAAGTTATTAAGAACATTCTAGTAAAACAATTAGAAACAAGCATGTCCATAAAATAAATATAATTCATGATATCCAACATATAATCTGTAATTTACATACATTGTCTATACAACATTATGAAAAAATATTTCATTAAGAAACAATTTTAAAAAGCAAAAAATATTCCAACAAATTTGACTCTGTTGGATATTAAAATTATCTGGGGAACTTTTTAAAAAAGTACCAAGTGCTTGGGCACCACTTCAGATTCTAGGGTACGGCTAGCACCATCTTTTACCTAAAACATCAGATGACCCCATCAGCCTGCCAGGGTTGAGAATCTAGTTTAGCTTAAAGATGAATAAAAATATTTTTACATTATCTTCAGCATACTTCTGCAAAGAAAATACAGTTCCATTAACAATTATTGGAAAAAAATTCATATATACTTTTGTAGAAACATTGAGACTTAGTGATAGAGTTGGATATGATTTTGTTGATTTAGTTTAAATTCTTGCTGGTTCAAATTTAGCTGAATCAGTATTAAAATTTCTGAATTTCTTCTAAAATTTCTTTTGTGCAGCATTTTATTATACTTCTCTTTAGATTTGTTTTATTGAGTCTCTTTGATAAACAATAACAACAAACTCTCAGTGACACTGTGTTTTGGTTTGGGGCGAGAAATGTGTAGTTATGATGAAGACAACCAACAGAATTTTGAATACCAATCAAATAACAGGCTTGGGATAGTCTAGTGACAGAGACCAGATGGCAAAGAAAATACAAATTCCCAGCTAGTGGATTGGAAATTGGTGGTAGATCAGAAATAAGACCTATCATATTTCAGCCTTGTCAGTAGTTTGTGGGTATACTTGGTCAGAAGTAAGCAACAGTAGCAGTAACAGCAAAGAGCCTCTAAAGCTAACATAAATTTCCTTTCTACCTAATGATTACACATGGTTTCTCACCAAACACTCCAGAGGTATCAGAGTTTTGAGAAAATGAATAGTAAGTAACTAACTTAAGACTCGCAAATTTATACAACAGAAATTAAGGTGGGAGTTTAAGTTTGGGGAAACAATGCGAAGAAGTATGGAAAGGAAGATGGGTAGAATATAGAAAAAAATTTAAGGACAGTTTTCTTGTCAAAATATCAATATCTCTGAGAGTCTGACGTCAACTGAAATAACTAAAAATGCTTTAGAGCAGAGTGGAGTTTTGGCCTGCAAGATACCTTATTTGAAGTTCCTTTAAGATACCCTATTCAAAATTCTTTTAAAATGTTATTTTAGGAATCTGGTGTGCTTGCCTCTACAATTTTTTATGATGATTTATTTATTTACTTGAAAGGCAAAGTTACAGAGAAAGAAGTAGAGACAGACAGACACAGAGAGTGAGAGAGATCTTCCATCTATTGGTTCACTCCCCAAAGGGCTGCAATGGCCGGGGTTGGGCCAGGCTGAAGCCAGGATCCAGGAGCTTCTTCTGGATTTCCATATGGGTGCAGGGTCTCAAGGATTTGTGCCATCCTCTGTTACTTTCCCAGGCATATTAGTAGGAAGTTGGATTAGAAGTGGAGCACCTGGGACTTGAACTTGTGCCTATATGGCATGCTTGTGGCACTGCAGGCCATGGCTTTAACCTGCTGTGCCTCAGTGTTGGCTCCTACAATATATATATATTTTCCCCTAGGAATTTATTAGGGAGAAATTTGTCTTTTTTATCCCAAACAAAACAGGAGGAATTTCTAGTTGGCTTTCCAAGTTTCTACAATTTCTCCTGGAATGGTAGTCTTAAGAAGCCTGCAGGGAATGGCTGTAAGAAGCAGGTAACCCCTCAGTTATCTGTCCCCTTGTCCAGAAGCAGCAACATCGCTGGAAAGCAAGACCTTTTGAGCAAGTGAAGAGTCCCACCTTCAGGTTAAGTGCTGAAAGGCAGCGTAGCTGGTGGATGGTGCTTGAGCATGGTATTTGATAGAGAATGAGCTTGTGTAAAGAACTGTTTCTAGTCCTGAAATGTGTCTAATTGTGATAAAAATACTTGAAGTATGTTTTATAATAAGGAATGATTCCTTAAGTTTAGCAGATTCTTAAACACCTACCTCCAGGTGTAGTTTGATTATTTCATTTTGTTTTCTCTTTTCTTGAGTTTCTAATTTTACTTTTAACTCTGAAATTTCCATCTCCTTTTTCTTTATTAGTTCATTGTACTTTTCTTCATTTAATTCAACTAAATAAAACAAAAATAGAATTCAGTTAACATTTTACAAATATTATACACCTGTAGTTTTAGTATTTTAAAATTTACAAGAAAGTAAATTTTTAAAATAAAATATATTTTAGAATTTATTTATGGTTAGGGTAGCTTTTATGTATTTTTGACAATACTCTGAATAATGGTTGAAACACAGTGGTCACTTACCAAGTACTTTTGTATGAATTAACTAGATTTTACTCTAAAATAGCCAAGACCTAGAAAATAAGAAGATTAAGTGTTTTAAGAGTGACACAAGCCTGGGTTTCTAGGCACACAGGGCCTTGACTACTATTAACACCAGAGTAAAATAATGCTCCTGTTGTACACTTTTATGTCATCAGACCTCTCTCATATCCATGTCATATTTTTATGCTTCATCCAATTTTCTCTAATCTTCTTTATTTCTGTTAAAGACATCATGCCATATAGGATGGGAGGACAAGGACATCTTTGATTTTTAAAGAGAAGAGTCAATTAGTCCACAAATCCCATGCACAACTATTCTACTACTTACTTAGTTTCAGGCCTCATTTTTCCTCACTTGGACTCTATGGCCAGTCTCTATCACCAGTCTGTACTCTGTCCCACTATTGCCAGGTCATTATTCCTAAATCATGCTTCTAAATATGGTCATCACTTTTTCAAAAACCTTTAGTCACTTCTTAATTCTTTAGTCTTACAACTAAAGAAGTCACAGAATCTAGCCCTAGTCATAGTGTCTGGCATTTATTTGTTGAATCTTTTTGCAACAAAAAGATAGGAAATGAATTTGCATGGTATGTTCCTCTTCATCTTTTGCTTTAAGTATTTCATTATCTTTATATTTTAGGGATGTCTTCTGAAAGCAGCATATTAGAAGATTTTAATTTTTTATCAAATATGACAATGTTTGTCTTTTAATTGGAACATGTAATCAAGTTTTATCTAATGCATTTACTGATTTGTTTTGGTTTATATCTACAAGATTATTATTTTTTGCTGGCTTTGTGTCATGTTCCTTTCTCATTTGCTTTCCTTTGGATTGAATATTACCATTCCTCATTTTTCTCTCCTTATGCCCTGTTTATCCTTAGTTTGACATATGTTATTTTCCTCTTCCTTTAGTGTTTATCCTAGTGATCATGAATATTTAATTTATTAGAATCTGATAAACTTAGTAATTTTATGACTGTTACAGACATTATAAAAATCTTCAGTGCTTTAACACTGTTTACTACTCCTCTATCATTGGTGTTTTTGTACAATCTTAACCAAATTAGAAATATGTTTCTCTCAGCATTCCCTTGATATTCAAAAGATGTGGGATGTAAAGTAAAGTAGACACTAATTTTTTCTGAAGGTCAGTGTAGGATGCCAGGCCATGCTGCAGTTGACAAATGGTGTTGCTGATCTTCTGGTTTGCCAAATTAGCAGCTATTAGCTTCTAAAGGTCAATGTACAGCTCCAGGCAATACTGCAATTCATGTAAGTTGTCACTGGTCACTGGATTCCCTTACTACTATGAAGAAGCATTCCATTTCAAAGCTTCTAAAACTCTAACCAAATTTCATCTTCTATGAGTCTTAGGATATAAGTACTTGAAGCCCCATGGGAAAGGGTATTAATTATCTCTTCCTGTCAGTTGCCATATCACCAAAGTTGATAGAGGTTCAAGAAAGATGAAGGTTCCAGACTGTCCTTTCTCTTTTCCATTTCATTTCTAGTTTTTCTTTCTCAATGTAAATCTTTTTGACTACAGCAACTTCAAGCCTTCACTACATGAAGAAACAACTGTCTTTCACAGATGTCACTATCATTATCTAAGTCTCATATGATCTTTACATTTTTTCCTTTTTAAATTTATTTTTAAAGGAATTTTTGTTAGTACATTAGATTCTCAGGGTCAAATCAAATGATTGGTAATTACCACAACACAATTCTCATCAATTTTCATGTAATACAAACAGAATAGATTTAATGTAGTTCATAGATACAATTCTTATTTTTTTAAGATTTATTTATTTTTCTGAAAGGCAGAGATACAGAGACAGAGGCAGAGATAGGGAGAGAGGTCCTCCATACGCTGGCTCACTCTCCAGATTGCTGCAATGGCTAGAGCTGCGCCAATCCAAGACAGGAGTCAGGAGCTTCTTCCGGTCTCTTATGTGGGTGGAGGGGCCCAAGGACTTGGGCTATCTTCTGCCACTTTCCCAGGCCATAGCAGAGAGTTGGATCAGAAGTGGAGCAGCCAGACTCAAACTGGTGCTCATATGGGATGTCAACACTGCAGGTGGTGGCTTTCACCTGCCATGCCACAGCGCCAACCCCTATAGATACAATTCTAAGGATATCATGACACTTTCATTTCTGCCTCCCTCCCTCTCTACTTATCCCTTTCTTTCATTTCCTTATTTCTTTCTGTCTTCCCTCCCTCCCTCCTGCCCTCCCTCGTTCCTTCCTTCCTTCTCATCCTCCCTACCTCCCTCACACCCTCCCTTCCTTTCTTCTTTTTTGAGACAACATATTATTAATTTATATTATAGTCAAAGGCTTAATGTGTCACTAAATAAAGAGTTCAACAAGTGAAAAGTAAAAAGACCATAGGTCACTGGGAATATAGCCAAATACTGTAACAGTAGTCAAATGAAAAATGTACATTTGACTCATATACAGTAAATTTTAAAATAATCACAGATTATTAAAACTATAGTAGTATATCATTAGTTTGACAAAGATACAAAAAAAAGTGATAAAACTGTGTTTGTAGCAATACTGACACACACAGACATTTCTTTTTCTTTTTTAAGTTTAGCTCCCACATATAAGGGAAAGAACATGGGGCATTTGAATTTGTTTTTCTGTGTCTGGACTATTTTACTCAGTGATGCCCCCCAGCTACATCCATTTTGATGCAACTGGTAGAATTTCATTTTTATAACTCAGTAATATTCCATTTTCTTTATCCATTCATCTGATGATGTTTAACAACTTGGTTGATTCCAGGTATTGGCTATTGTGAACAGTGCTGCTGCAAACATGGTGGTGCAAGTATCTCTTCGATACAATGTGTTCATGTCTTTTGGGTATATACCCAGTTACTGAGATTGCTGGATCATATGGTAAATATATTTCTAGTTTTTAAAGAAATCTCCATCCTCTTTTCCACTGTGGCTGCACTAATTTACATTCCCATCACATTATTGAAAGCATTTGTTACTCTCTGTCTTTTGGATTTTAGCCATTCTGACAGAAGTGAGGTAAAATCTTACTGTGCTTTGGATCTGCATTTCCCTGATGGGTAGTGATGTTGAGCATTTTTTCATGTTTGTTGGCCATTTGTATTTCTTCTTCTTTAAGATTTATTTATTTGAAAAGTAGAGTTGGAGAGAGAGAGAGAGAGAGAGAGAGAGAGAGAATCTTCCATCCTTGAGTTTACTACCAGGTGGCTGCAATGACCAGAGCTAGACCGGCCCAAGTCAGGAACCAGGAGCTTCTTCTGCATCTCCTACTTGGGTGCAGGTCCCCAGGCACCTGGGTCACCCTCTGCTGTTTTCCCAGGAGCAAAAGCAGTGAGCTAGATCAGAAGTGGAGCAGTCAGGAATCGAACCACTGCTCATATGGGATGCCAGTGTTGCAGGTTCAGCTTTACCCACCATGTCACAATGCTGTCCCTGTATTTAATCTTTTGAGAAGTGTCTTATTGAGGTCTGTTGCCCATATCTTAACTGGATTTTGTTGTTGTTGAGTTTTTTTTTTTAAATTGCTGATACATTCTGGATATTATAATCCTTTGTTAAATAGGTAGCACAAATGTTTTCCCCCATTCTGTTGGATGTCTCTTCATTCTATTGATTGCTTCCTTTGCTGTTCGGAAGCTTCAGAGTTTTGTATAATCTCCTTTGTCTAGTTTTGCTTTTGTTGCTGGTGCTTTGGAGGTCTTGTCCAAGAAGTTGTCCCTCATCTCAGTGTCTTGGAGTGTTTTGCTTAAATTTTCTTCTAGCAATTTCTTAGTCTCAGGTCTTAAATTTAGGTCTTTGATCCCTCTTGATTTGACTTTTGTATATGGTGAGAAGTATAGATCTAATTTCATTCTTTTACACATATACATCCAGTTTCTTCAGCACCACTTGTTGAAGAGATTATTCTTATTCCAATGTATGGTCTGAGCAGTTTTGTCAAAAATTAATTGGCTGTAAGTGCTTGGATTAATTTCTGGGCTTCCTGTTCTGTTCAATTGATTTATATAGGGCTTTTTTTCTTTGACAGTACCATGCTCTTTAAATTACTATAGGTTTTTAGTATGCTTTGAAGTCAGGTATTGCGGTGTGTTCAGCTTGATTTTTCTTGCTCAGGATTGCCTTGGCTATTCTGGGTCTTTTGTGATTCCATATGAATTTTAGAATTGCTTTTTCTAATATAGTAAAGAATGTCATTGGTATTTTGTTAGGGATTGCTTTGAATCTGTAGATTGCTTCAGATATTTCAGACACTTTAATGATATTGATTCTTCCTATCCATAAGAAAGAAAAATCTTTCCCTTTTTTTGTGTGTGTGTGTCCCAGATAACTTCTTTCATCAGTAATAATTTTCATTGTAGAAATATTTTACTTCTTTGGTTAAATTTATTCCTAAATAGTTGCTGTTGTTGTTGTGGCTATCATGAATGGGATTTCTCTTTCAGTGAGTTCATTACTGAAGTATAAAAACACTACTGTTTTTTGTGTGTTTACTTTGTAATCTGTAGCTTTACTGAACTGGTTTATCAATTCTAACAGCTTTTTGGTGGAGTGTTTAGGTTTTTCTATGTACAATATCATGTAGACTGCAAGCATGGATAATTTAATTTTCTCTTTTTCAACTTTGGTGCCCTTGTCTTGCTCCAGATCTGAGGGGAAATGCTTTCAGCTTTTCCCCATTCAGTATGATATTATGATATTGGGTGTTGGTTTGTCATACATATACAGCCTTTATAATTTTGAGATCTGTTACTTCTA